ATATCCTGGAAAAGGCTGCATTCTTCTGTAAAGTTGCTGCTGAAACGGAAAGGAGATTACTTCAAAATGTATGCAAATACAACACAACAACTTAGTATTACATATTTTAAGAATTAATACAGAAGAAATAAATTGGGAAGCAATCTGAACGCAAATAATTTTTGCTTGCAATATATAGTGCCTTTTAGGAAAGGATTTCAAATGCTTTATCACAAGAAACGTAACTATCTTAACTTTTCCAACTAGTCATGACCTCTTTCTTTTAACATAGATAAAAATAATAAATTGAGAGTAATCAAATAACCTGAAGTATTTAACAGTATCTGAATAACTAGTCAATAATTATATTTTACCATGTTTAATATCAGCTTGCAGCACAAAAGGTAAAAGTGCAGTTCTGCAGATTAGAAGAAAGAGGAAGCAGTAGCCAGGCACTGAAATAAAATAAAAAGGAACTTGCACAAGGGCTGTATGAAAATATGTGCCTGTAAGAGGGAGATGTATAATTATTTTATACAGAACACAGAGAAAACCGTAACAATCCTCTTATGATCTAAAAATGATTACCTGTTTGAATAATCTATTTTTCTTGATGGAGGGCTTCAATGAAGGCTTCAAGTTTTTCCTGGATTTCCCGAACTTTTTCTGGAAGAATTAAAGAGATCCTCATTCAAATGTCTAGCTACTTTATTAAGAGCATACCCAGAAAGAAAAAAAATTCCCCCATACATGAACAAAATTAAGTCTGCCATCAATATTACGCTATACTTTTCATTTCTTAATAATTAAGATTTGGTAAAGTTATTCTGCATCAGAACAAACGAAACCCTTCCCCCTTTAAAGAACTTCTACAAATATACTTTATATCATTACCATGCTAATTTATAATTTCATAACTTACCAAAGCAATCTGACACCAAAAAAGCTTTACTCTGAAAAGCTGAAATTTCCATTAATTCATGAACAGCGGAACTACTGTACACCGGTTACATACAGGGAGTTGTTATCCATTAAACAACGTGCACTAATCCCTTTCTCTTTTAACCAAATATCCTCATTCTCCACAGTGTCACAAACACCACTAATCATTTGAAAAAGAATTCAAAGCTAGTGCTCCTCCGGCAGGTAAAATTTTAGGGAACCAAATGTCAGTATTCAACACACCTGTACAAAAAAGAACGCACAATATTCAGAAAGTTTAATGCTTACAGATTGTTTCCTTGTATTTCAGTAGTAACCAGACAGACACGGTCAGAATCATATTTTATAAGAACACCAACGCTGGGAGCTTATTTCCCTAAAAAATTCACGTCTTGAATATAACTACAAATAGTTTATAGGAATAAGAAGTTAACACTGATTGGAAAAAATACAGGGCTTTAGGCATTTTTCCCCTCTTTTCTCAATTCCACACAACACTTGTTAGCATATAAGCTATTTGATTTATTGAATTGCTTATGAAGTAAGATTTAGAACCTAGTTGGAATCCAGAGCCTGTAAGATTTCCTGCTTCTCTGTCACCACATCCTCATTTGAAGACCCTTCTGTGTGTGATTATAGCTATGAAAAACACATACTTCAGAAATATGAAGGAAACAGATAAAAAATAAAGTTAGATGAGCACAAACATATAAAACCTGTTTTTTCTTTCAAGCTAAAAATATGATCAGTTAAAGCCTTATATTCCCCTTTATGAGATATAAGCTTTGGGTAAACTCTAGCTTTTTTTATTGTTAATATTTTCTTCTCTTTAGCAATATCATATGTTATAAATTTATGTTATTGAACTGAACTAACTGCCTAATAGAAAGAAGAATACAACCATCAGCCTTAAATAATGTACATAAGTATTAGGCAAAAAGAAACAAATATGACCTACAAAGGGAGTGCTCTAAGAATGCAGCTAACAACAAAGTGATAATCCCCTAAACAGTTATGAAATCCATTTTAGAGTAGTAGTGATAATAATAAACCACAACAAAACCCTGTAGTATTGTTTTAACAGAAGCAGAAAATGTTACTTAACTTTCAAAATAAAAGAATATTAGATGAAATAGTCTGCATGGGAACGAAAACGCCCTAAACTTCTACCCTATCTTTACCATATGATTCCTAGATGATAAAGAACAAGTCATTTACACTCTCAAAACTTCAGTGCCCTCTTGTTCAAAAAGAGATAGTGCTCATCTACAAACACAGGTGTACCGTGAAGCTGACTCTCAGTGTAGGTCATAAAGACACCCCACAACCTTCTCTAGTTCCAGCTACTTTCCAAGCACTGTAGTATTAAACTAAGATTACAGTAAGCATAAGAGAAAAAAGGCTGTATTTTCAATTTGGAAAAAATTAAGGAGGCAATGGAACACCAGTAGCTGATTTTTAACTGGAGGGAGGGAAAAAAGAAAAAAAAAAAAAAAGCCTGATTCAGTTCAGCAGAGAAAATCTTTGAACTCTGCCTATGAAAAAAAGATTCCTATGATCACTTCTTACTAAGCAAGTTCACAAACTGTTTCATTACTGTGTTTTTAAATCAAAGAAGAGTAGGCATTGTTTGCACATCAGTATGTAAACCTTCCATGTAAAGAAAACATTAATATTCTGGCAGTTTTTAGGCAGATACTTAGTACAGCTAGTAATACTGATGATCTGTGCATATTTACAAAAGTAGCCCTTGAAACAATGTCCTGTTGTCTTGGACAGAGTCAATACATTTTTGCAAATTATTAATTCTGCACCTCACTTCCCAAAACGAGCAGCGAGTGCTAGTGATAACTGGGGATTAAATCTAAACGCCCCAGAAGGACTCTTCATGTTGTGTTCTCACAACATGGTTTTGATGTGGATTTTCTTTTTATTTTTGCTATATTCTTTCCCCATGCCTTTCATATTGATCAAGCCAGTAGACTAGTTTTAGTAGTATTAAATGCAAATACTTTCCCTTCTCAACCCCTGCCTAATGAAATATGCCAGTCTTGCAAATTAATAGCATCAGCAAAATCCGTAACTATTATTTCACTCTAAAAAAAAAAGTTTTGTGCCAACAAAACCTATTTTAATTTTCTCATTAGGGCATATTAAAATAACAGGATGGCAAATATTTATTCCACTAGAATGTACTGAATCAGCTGTGTTTGCTCAGAGAACAGACATACTAAAATTGCCTCTATATTACAAGCAGTTTATTAGTTTTTATACTTGGACAGAATTGAAGTGATTGCTTAACTGTAATAATTATGAAGTCTTGAGGTAATTTAATACTTTGAAAAAAACATGCCAGCTATTCTTAAAGAAAAGTTACAATGTCTGCCAAGGAGCTGCAATTATTCATGCTAAGCTTAGTGTTCCTAGAAGTAGTAAAGTCTATAGCAGCAGCAGCAGCAACCAGCCAACATGTAACATTTTCTCAGAAGCCTGTACTGTACCGCAGAGAAACAGTATGCCGTTCAGTTTACTCTCTAAACAGTATAATGCCAGAGTTTCATACTTAATACAACACGCAGCTTGATGTGCCAGTAAATGTAAATGCTTGGAATGGATTTTGCTGTTGAGAAGAGGGGCAGGGTCTGCAATTCTGGAATAACTGCCAATAATTTCATCAATACCAGCTGACATGTCATTTGCAACAACAATAATTGTTACAAATTAAGTCAGATGTTACCTGCCTTCACTTTGGGGAATTTTTTAGACCCAGCTCTCTTCTGTGTGAAACACACAAACTGTGTGCCCCAACTTTCCAGGGTTATGATTGACACCTAGATTGAAATGTTAACAACTTAAACCCCCCTCAGAACAAAATATACATTAGTTTACAAGTGTAGCAACATCCCAAACCCAGAATGCCCTTTGGGTTTCAAATAAGAACCTTTACTAAGGGACAGACGAAGGTGACGTGTTGCTCTTGCTACATATTGCGATACTGTGTTTTTCCCTGTGTAAGCACCCACCTTGCTCACGTAGGATTTCTGTAACACCCTGAATTACCCCAGTACTGTTACACAATGCTCCAATATCACAGAAGGCTTTTAAACTACTATTGTGTTACTATAGTTTTATATACTAAACGACTGCATAGTCATATACGCTATAGCTGTAGTTATAGTATAGTTTTATTACATTGTACTTCAGAGATTGACATTTAAACTATCGCTTACAGTGAATGACAGGAAGACAACAGGGTCTTTGATAGTTTTAATGAAGGCTTGAAGTTATGAAAACATAACTCTTCCAGCACCTGTTAAGCAGTGATCAAAAAACCAAATGAAATCAGTGAAGAATAACTGTAACAAAACCCGTCTCCATCTTTAGAACAGTGAAATTCACAGGCCTAGGGGCAATGAAAGGCTATTCTACTTTCCATTTATCCCATGTTTACCTAAAAGATAAGCTCTTCCATACATCAGCTCATTATGCCTCTTGATCTGGTCATGAATATTCCCATAATCCTCCCTCCATATCCCATAAAACTTCACTGACAGAATGAGGAAATTCTTTATTCAGATGTCTTGAGATCCTCATTCATGCTTAGTCTCTCCTTATCTCCATATGAAACGATACTGCAGCCCACTCATTTTCTTTTCATTAATCCTGTGACACTAAATCTAGAAAGCTCAAAACCAGACTAATTGATCTGTAATTAGGATTTGAATAAACCACGAACACAACAAGAAACAGCCACAGATAAAGTTTGCTTTTCCTAATAACATAAGCTGGTTAGAAGGATACCCCCTCAGAAATTAAGCCTTATAAAGGACTGCTTGCTTACCGATTGCAACCTTAGAGGCATATATCTAAGACTGTCTAATAATTAGCACAGTCCAGAAATAAGAGAATCAGTGCTAAGATGAAACCCAACTAAAAAAAGTTATCTACCAAGCAAAGCTCCTGAGCTGACCAAATAATATCAAAATAATATAAACAGAGAACTACACAGCTAAGGTATGCTATTGAATTATTTCAACTGTATTTAAACTTTACACCATGCCCTAAGTATCAAGAAAAAGGTTTCTGGATGTTTTCCAGCCGCATTAGTTGCTTTAATGAAAGATGCTTCCTCTCGCCACAAAACTGGTCTTCCTTATACTTCTAAGATAAGTGAATTTTGAGACATTCAAATCATACATACTTATATGTAAATAAGAAACAGTTTTAGCACAGAACTTTAAATGTGCCACAACAGGGAGAAAACTGTATTTTAGGCAGCTCAAAAAGCCTTCCTTGGCCCTTTACAAGTTTGCCCATATCACATCAGTTTTCAATTGCGCCATCAAGAGAGACCGTAAACTCTTTCAGGACAAGGATCTATCTATATTTTGTACTTTGATGAACCATATAGCACAAAACAACCATTATAAAATGTGTTAGCATTTCATTATTAATTGTCCTGTTCCACATTAAAGTCATTTCTCCCTCCACAGAGTGCTTATGGGGTTTTGATATTTGTAAGCTTTTGGTTGCTCTTCCTTTTGCTCTGGATTTTGCTTAGATTTTAGTCCTTTTTCATCTTCCTTTTTAATTCCTTTCTTGCCTATAAACTTCCTCATTGCTTGCTGCGCTACTTCTGTGTTACGGTTAATTAATCATAGAGGGGGAAATGTTGAACTGACTGCTGCGAATGCATCATCTTTCCTCTAGTAAAAAGGAAAGCC